AGAGAGATGAGAACCAGACAGCTTGCAGTCTTGTGTGCATGCGAAGCATAACTCATTTCAGGGGACCACACGCACTTGTCCGTCAGGGCAACTATGAGAAGCAAAGTCATTCCAGGATAGACTCACTGTCCTCTGTGAGGGCTGTAGGTCATAGAGCAGTCAGACTAGTAAACGTACAAATAAGGATGCAAGTATCCCAATTTACAGATGAAAAATCATGAGGGTTAAATTATTCCCCAAACTTGCTGGGTGGTAGTGGTGCACACCTTTAATCCTAGCATTTGGGATGCAGGAGCTGGTGCATCTCTGTGAGTTCAAGGCCTGCAATAGTCTATAGAGCTAGTTCCAGCCAGGGCTACACAAAGAAACCCTGTCTCAAAAAACAAACAAACAAACAAACAAAAATATTATTTCCAAAACTCACCTTAGGCAAACCTGCATGAATGTCTGTTTTATTTTGTCTTTCTCTGCAAATACAGATACCAAGCCTCACTTCACGAATGCCGAGCACTTTAAATTCTGAAAGAGCTTTCTTCGGTAAAAGGCCGTCAGTTATGGGCTGTCCTGTGTGCTTATATTTTATGAGACTGTAGGGAGCTTTAGTGGCTGTTTGGGTCAGGCCAGACATCGGTTCTCAAATGTAATATTAATGGTAGCGACAACAGTGTTTTTAGCATTCATTGTATAACTAGCTCTCTGCTGAGTAATCTCATTCGAAAGCAACCCTGTAGGCAATATGTATGCCCTAGGAGAAAATCAGAAACTCAGAGGGAAGTGCTTGCCCCAAGTTGTTAAAGAGAGTAAGTTTCAGACGGGATTCCTGAGCCATGAAATGTGCACTTCAATAAGCAAGGGCTATTGAGTGTCTGGAGGGGGGGGCGTGTAAAAAACGGGTCTAAACCAGAACAGAAGTGTAAACTGTGTCTGTGTCTCTAAAAACCTCTAAGAGTACCCAGTGCTGCTGCATTCATCTTAAATAGGAAACAAGATTATTCAGAAAGAGAAGAGGGGAGAAGCTAACAGTTGTAAAGGGGAAAGGCGGCAAAGTTCCAAGCCAGGTAGAGAGTTGGGACTCACGGAAGACAGGGAATGTATGTTCAATGGGGTGGAGCTGGGGGAAACTGGAGGGTTTTGAGGGGTCCTTGTGGAATGGGCCACACTTGTTTGGGTCCATCCATGGCAAGCTTTTCTAATATTAGGTGAGAGGGAGAAAGGAACATCTTGGCATTATAGAATGTACTTCAAAAGAGTGATGGGTGATAGGACTGGGAGTCTACAGAGCAGAGGAGTCCTTTTAGTGTCCAGGAATTAATTACCACACACAGGCACGCATGCGCGCGCGCACGCACACACACACACAGGCACACACACACACACATGTTTTGATGCTGGAGGCACACGCTAAGTATAGAAGATTTAAAACAAGACGTTCTGGGATGAGACAAATGGCTCAGCTGATAAACGCTTGCTACAAGAGCATGAGAACCTGACTTTAATCCCTAGCACCCACGTAAAAAGCTGGGCACAGTGGTGCATACCTGTAACTCACTGGGACAGCTGGCTGTGACAGAGGAATCCCTGTGCCTTTAGTCCCAGCAATCAGGAGGCAGAGGCAGGCGGATCTCTTTGAGTTCGAGGCCAGCCTGGTCTTTAAAGAGTTCCAGGACAGGCACCAAAACCTAACAAAGAAACCATGTCTCAAAACAAAAAACAAAAACAAAAACAGATGGAAGGCAATTGGCAAAGCACCTGTTGTTAACCTCTGGCCTCTATGCGTACTCACACATGTACACACCCGTACAACTGCCACAAGGTTCAAAACACTTTCAGTTTGCTTTCTAATCCTAAAAGGGCCAACTGGTTTCCTTTTTGTTAGCCAGTTCCAACAACACTCTACTCCAGAGAGGAAATCCAGTCTTCTGCATGAAACGCATCTTGTGCAAAGATCCCTTTTTATATTCTTTCCTCCTCTAAATGTACACGCACACCCCCCCAGGTCCTCTCTAGTATCTTAAGGCCCCACTGTGCAAAGCTGATAAATTACCTGGAGACCACGCCTTGACCCTTGCTGACCCTTGTTTCCCATCTGTTGAGCAACCGAGCTCGGCACCGTCACCGCACCTGCTTATTAACCTGCCGTGCACGTGAGCACCGGCTCTCTCAAGCACCCTAGCCGCCCATCTTCTGTCTGTTCAGTCTCTCTGCTCTGCCTCCCAGTGAGTCACCCTCAACCTTTTATGAAAAACAGCAAATCCTGCAGGCCACTTGCTGAAACCTCAGAGCTGTTTGTACCCATAGCTCACAATTAATTGGCTGTGTGACATCCAACAAGTCACTTCCCATCTCCAGCTCCAATAAATGTGTCTACCAACGCCATGACCAAGGGTGTTAAAATGCACAGTCCCTCAGAGCCTTCTCAGCACCAACAGTGAATAATCTCACTCCCATCACAAGTTGGATCTTAAGAAAACACCCGAGAACTAGCTGGATGGATCCATCTTATTTTCCTTTTCTCCCAGGAGCGGTTACTCTCATGGTGGCCTGAAGTTTTTCGGTGACTCTGCTCTACTGTTGATCTTGGCTGCCACCCCCGAACAGCCTGAACTTTCCCCTTGGCGTTTGGGAGCCGGTCGGTCTTCGAGCAGAATTAGGATTTCCATATTAGTGCACACACCGACTGGTTCTCACTCCCCGAGTTTCCATTTGCGTTGTTCAGGAACAGTTGCCTCTGGAACACTCAGGTGAAGTGCCAGGAAAATACTTATCTGCTCATTGGTGCTTAAGTTTGTGGCCAGACTAGGCCCTTCCCTGTTGCAAGTTTTGCCCTCAGGCGCATGACTCATTAACCGTGCAGCAGCGATCAGCAATGGCCTCCCTCACCGGTTGGGGAAAACAGCTCATAGAGCCCTTTCCTCCCCAGATCTCTGTTCACTGCCCACTGCCCACTCAGAACTGACATCCCCTGACCACTGGCTGTCATTTCTTTTTGTAACATTCTGTGGCACTTGCAGACTAGGCACTCTTACAAGAAACTAGGGAAATTTCCACTCATAAATGTCAGTTTGTTTGTTTTTAAATGGGCAGGTTGGGGGAAAAAAATAGGTCAAAGACTACTGATGCTAGAGAATGTTCTAAATCTAAGCAAGAAGTTTATTTGAATCCTGGGCTGCGTTTGGCCCATCTCTAGCTCATTTGCTCATAACCTTTGACCTTTCCACACACCTAGGTTCAGAGTGAGATGATTACGTTAAAGTGCTGGCTGCAGTCCTGACAGTCCTACAGCTCCTGAGTCATGTTTACAGCTTATGTGACTTCAGGGTCACTGGTCTGGGCTGCTGACCAAGCCAAGTCATCACCACGTAAGGTATTTACTAAAAGGTCTCAAAGCCAAGTCCAAACGTGCACAAATGTCTTAGTTGTATCACGGAGAGGTGATCAGCAAGTCTGTAAAGGGCTACTATACCAAAACACTGGATTTCTACAAGTCGATCCTCTAAACAATTCACAATGGAAATACCTCTAAATACTTAATTACGTAATTAAATACATAATAAGGGAAAGACCACTAAAAACAAAATAGGCTATGTGGGTACCGCAAGAGAATACAAACTATAATCAAGGGTTACTTCTGGGAGATAAATATGTGTCAAAGGAAGGAAGTCAGAACATGCAATCTATTGAGACTTTTGAAGACTTTTAAATAATAACTATCAAAAAGGTAAATTTCAAAAGGAGACCACAGGTGGAGCTGAGTAGCAGAATGTCTGCCTATCAATCAATGGTCTAGATTTGGTCCTCAGAACTGAAAGGAAAAAAAGTTCCCATGGCTGATGTTATCAAGTCATTCTAAATAACTAAGACAGTAAGTAAGAAGCAATAAAAACCTTAAGCTCATAATTAAGTGAAAGTGGGTGGCAAACATAAAACTTTTAACTAGCAGCTTACTATACAACAAGAATCAGTTAAAAAAAAAAAAAAAAAAAAAAAAAAAAAGATCCACTACACAAAGGAGCCAATTCAGTATACATTTACTTGATTCTAAGCTCCTGGCCCATTACAGCTCAGACCTATAAACAGCCTATGGAGGAGGGTGTCTCCCATGCATGGCTTTCTTAGAAAAACAACAAAAAGCCAAGTGTCCCTGATGTTTCAAATGTGATTGTTTCACACTTCCTTGTGAGCAACTGCCGGGTTTCAGCAAACTCAAGTAATTCTTGAAATCTGCAGAAGGAGACAATCACTCGGAGGGCCTGCCTAGACATCATTTCCCCAAATTCAAAGTCTGTAGAAAATGTTGTGACTCACCAGAGAGAGATTACTCACATCTAGTTTTTCTTTCTTCTTTAACCAAAGATTTAAATTAAGGGCCATCTGGTATGTAAAAGTCAAATGTCTTTTGTTTTTTTTCCAAGGTTAGATAGGAATAATCCAGTGTATAGATATTATGTAACTAAAGAAATGTATTGAGAATTTACAAAAGGCAGCTGGGTGGTGCTGGGGCATGTCTTTAATTCCAGCAGGCAGAGGCAGGTGGATCTCTGTGAGTTTGAGACCAGCCTGGTCTACAGAGAGAGTTCCAGGACAGCTCGGGCTGTCTTGGGGAGAAAATATGGCAGAAAGGATGTTATGTATTATTGTCACATTAGGACGCAAAGCACGAAAAATAGTGATGGTGGCATTCTTCAGCTGAGAAGGCAATGTTAAAGGCGAAAGAGAACAATCCGTTTGGATAGAACTTTACAGTGTGTTGATTGGGTGCTGCATCTTATGTTTAAAGATCTGGACCTCGACTCAAGGCAGCATGATGATTGGATTCTGGGACCCTTTCCACTGGCTTTCACAAAGAAGGAACACCTAGGCTGACAACTTCAGAGTGAGTCAAATCACAATTGAGAGAGAGTCATAAAGTGTCTGAAGACCATCTCCCCAAATCACCCAAATTAGCCTATTTGCGCCTGTGGGTATGGTGAATTATTTGAACAGGCTTTCATCACCCACCAGTGCTCTCTACTACCTTCTACAAGCTCCGCAGCCACAAGCAGAGCCACCGCTGTTCAAGCCCCTAGGGCTTTCTCAAAGAAGCCACTAGCTGACTTTGTTTCTGCATCAGTTTGGTCTTTCATGAGATGTCCAACAGGCTGGGGTTCCTAAGAAATTCTGCATTGTGAATCTTGTTCAGTGAATGCTGAGTGGTCTGAAATGAAAACACTCAGAGAAGTGCCGAGTTTATTAGAGTGAGGGAACACCACCCTCACATTGCCACCCGGAAACAAAGACCTCAGAGGCAGCCAAGGCACTGAGGAGAATCTCAGCATCGGAAGACACCCTAGGTTGAACAGGTTCAACTCCCTCTTCGTGTGCTAATCCCCACCAAAGCCCGATCTCCAGTGGGCTGAGGTCCATCTGGTACCATGTCCGCAACCTCACATCCAGCCAGCTCCGAATCTGCACTGGGGCAGCAGATGACGTACAAGCACCTACCATCTGGTAGCACACACCTCCACTTAGGCCCCACAGTCCCTTTTCCTATGAAGAAAGGATCCCAGAACCCATTGTTAAGTCGCTCAATATTCCCTACCAAGCACACAATGCAAAGAAGTACTGGATCGAGGGACTGAGCTAGTCCTTGGGCTTTCAGAAGGCCAAACTCCTGGTCCACAGGATGCCTCTACAGCAGGTTTCAGGAGTCAGGCATCTCAAGGAATGCTTGTTTGTGGAAGATCCTTCACCAAGAACAGTTAGACTTGCTGTTCTACCAGCTGCAGTTTGGCAGTCTTGACTCGATGGGCCTCCTTGAGGTTCTGTGCACGGACCTCCGCATTTGAAATGAACTCTACTTGTTGGATAGGGAACCAGCCTTGCTCCCCATCTGAGAGTTTCACACCCTCCAGCCAGCCTGCAGTACATGGTCAGAGGAAAGAAGAATTAACTGCTAAAGGCTCGTGTTAACTTCTTGGACCTCCTTGCTGAAAATTAACCTGTATCCTAAGGCTGAATGAACTAGGATCCTCCAACAGGAAAAAACCCAGCCTTGCAGGGTAGGGAGATGGCTGCCTTGGGTCTGCTGATGTTTACAGCCAAACATTTTGGAACCTTCTTCACCGCTACGGGTTGAATTTTGTCAACCAAAGTATTTATCCATAAACCTAATCCCTGGCACCTCCAAGTCTTTTCTTTCTTGGGAATGAAACTGCTGCAAACACAATTCATAAAACTACATCAAGTTCTGTCAGCCAATCAGAATCAGTCTCCACATAGAAAGGGTAATGTATATGCACACAGAGAGAAGAGGCCACAATGATATGTGTGCGGAGATTGAGTTATGCAGCCACAAGCCATTACGGAGCTGCCAGACCCGGACAAGGTAAAGGACTGTTCTTTAGAAGCGTCAGAGAAGCCTGCTGACACCTTGATTTGGGACGTCTCACTGCCGGAGCCGTGGTAAGGGAATTAATGGCTGTTGTTATCAGTGGTTGTCGGTGCTTTGTTGTGGCAGCCCTAGAAAGCCAGTGCATGCCTCTGCTGCCAACCTCCTGCTTACGGGCTCACTCTCTTACCATCACTGCTTTGCTGGGTCACCATCACAACATCCGCCTTCTCCAGTGCCAACTCATCATTCTCTCGGGGCTTGTAGGCTCGGAGGCACTGGACTTGTGGAGATTCTTTGAGAGAGAAGAGTGAAGAAAAGTTAGGAGCAGTGACTCCCTAGGGCACAGGCAGGAACTGTGAGGGAAGTGTGGAAGGACCTGAGGTAGATAAGTGTGGAATTGTAGACAAAAGAAGCCACTGGCCCACACCTTTAATCCCAGTACTCAAGGAGGCAGAAGCAGATGGATCTCTGTGAGTTTGGGTATAGCCTGGTCTACATTGCAAGTCTAGGTCAGCCAGGGGTACAGAGTGAGAACCTGTCTTAAAAAACAAACAAACAAACAAACGCCAGAGGAAAAAAATGATGAAAAGAAGAAAACAACAAAAAACCCCAAAACCAGTACCAACCACCTTCATCAACTACCAGGGATCAAACAAGCTAGTAAAGAGATAGAAATATTAGTATGGGATCTAATTTTTAAAAATTCTACTTCCCTGGGGAAGACTGCTAGGAAATACCCTGTGACCACACATAACTATTCACTGTGACAAATACTTGAGGTGCAGTATTTGCCTTTTACGATGCTCCCCAGCCTTTCAGTCTTCAATGGAGTTTGAACGCCTTAGACCTGACTGTTGGAGAGGAGCAAATGTATCCCTTATTCAACTGTTTTATGCCCGTGTTTTGCTTTGCTAATAATGCAAAGCACCGATTTTGTTCCAAAGGAAACAAGATACAGTCCGCTCTGAGACAAATAGAAGTGATCATGATCAAAAAGCATAGATTTCAGTTGCCATGAATGACACATATTCCACTGCAGAAGTTCTTACTTGTATGGCCCCAGAACGGAAAAAAAAAAAAAAAAAAAAAAAGGCATGAATCGATGTGTTTGTCGATATTCTGGTGGGGTTGCTCAGGTAGGCAGGGTATATAGCAGAGAGGAAGCATTTCTCCTATAGGTTGGAGGCATTATCTTAACAGACTTGGCTTTAGGGCTGGTGACAGTTAATGGTTTACTAAAGTTTAACAATGCATTCTGTAAGTCTTACCTAATGGTCGCCAGGATGTCAGGGCAGACACAGTGGTTGGTAATAAAGGCTATTATTGTGATCAAAGATGGCACACTTTAATTTTGGCTCTTGATCTGTGACCCTGCACCTTCACAATCACAAATCTCAAGTCAAATGGCCAGCAGGATCTTCAGCACAGAACTGAGAACTTGGCTGGCAGCTTTTTGAAGTCTGTGAATCTTGCATCGTTTTCTGCATTGTACCAGTAAGGGACCCCTCTCCTTTTAAATATAGCCTTCTACCGTTAGACTTTCTTAGTGCCCTTGATTCCCTTTGCCTTAGTTTTCTCATGTGCAATTGATGGACATGATGATTTGTTTGTTTGGCTGTTTTTGGAGACAGGCCCTGGCTGGCCTCGGAGTCACGGAGCTCCGCCTGCCTCTGCTAGGATTAAAGGCGTGCACCACCACCACCACCACCCAGTGATCAAGACGATCGGTGATCAAAATGATTCATGAGGAAATTCTAGATGTTTGCTTATGAGCCAGGCAGCATTTCCAAAGACTGTAATTAAGTTCAAGAGAACACAGTTCACAGTACACCTGTCCTAGAAGCAATCTTAGATGGGTTTGTCTTTATACTTTACCTTGCTCTACTGATTTCTCAGAAAATAAATGGAATGCTACGTTATTAATGGTGCACCGTTCCTCTAAATCTCAGCACCACCTTCCATCCACAGAAAATGCTACCCTCTTTACCTACCATAAATGAAGCAACCAGTGAACTGTACAGCAAGCAAACAGCATTGGGGTAAGTTGGGTTCTCCTAGGTCTTATTCCAAGCTTCATTACACTACTCATTTGTTCTTCTAACCCACAAAAGGCCCAGTGTTCCCTTAACATGCTCTAGGCTGTGGCTGCCCTGTGTGCTCGAGGTGAACAGCCTCAGCTGTCAGGCTGTGGCCAGACCAAAACTGTGTTGGTCTTTTCTTGTCATCCCCATTGCGGCTACACTATCTCTTCTGTGTCCCTCTTACACCCTCAATTGGTACAACCAAGTCAAAATCGTAGCAGATAAGATTTAAAGGAATATATATTTTACAAAGAACAAGTATTTGCCTAAGGCAGTGAATGGATGCGGAAAGGTACCGCCACGGGGAGCGACAGCTTTTAGAAGATGTATCACAAGAGTTTAGGCTTCAATCCGCCATGAAATTCGGAGGAAAAGCAATACACAGAAGCACCCAGCACACTCAACCTGTCATCCAAAGGGGACCACAGACTGACACTGCCATTTCTGATACAACCATACTCACCATAGCATTCAAGTAGGTCCAGCTCCTCTCTGGGCATGGCCAAAGCTGAGATCCACCGAAGTTTTTCACTTCTGAATAAAACACAAGACAGTCATAGCTTTCAGTTGCAGACTAGGAACACAGCCTGAGGGCCAGTGGTGGGGAAGGCAAGTGGGTCCCAGAAGGACTTGTCTAATTCAATGACTCCTAAAGTCAATGGGATCCTGCCTGGTTGGAAACCCAGTATGACCTTGTACTATGTGTTAGTGTATCCCGTCTATGCTTCCTTTCTGAATTTCTTTCACAAAGAGTCGTAAGGTGTGAACTGTCGACCGTATGCAGGAACATTTTCCAGTCTGGAAGTCACACCAAGCAAAACACTCGTCTGTTTAGACACGGCCACTCTGCATGGTCTTTACTTACCTCCCTTCAATTAAATATCTAAGATGGAAATTACTACTTAATAATAAGTAAGCCAGGGAGGTATGTCCATTTCATTGTTGTTGTTGTAGTATAATGTGATCTTAGCCTAACTTGTGATCATCTGGAGGTTTTTATATTATCTTATCCTCTGCTTCCAAATGAACCGAGGACATTGAGAATGACACTTCCAGAAGGATGCTGCCCAAAGCTCTAAAAAAAGAACACAAATCTGCACCTGATTATTTGTCTCCGGTGAAAGCCCAAGTCCTGAACCCAAGTACTATATACGAACACCCGCCCGCCCCCCAACTCCTGTGCCCAGCCCCATCTCACTGAGTCTCAGTGCGGAAGAGGAATTCAGCTTGGGTGCCCTGTGTGTTGTGCAGCAGGAACAGACGAAAGAGATTCTTGTGAGGTCCGTGCAGCTTCATTTCACACTTCTCCCCTCGAATGGAGGAGAAAGGAGCGTGGTCAAACACCAGGAACCGGCTGCCCCTGCAAGACACGTCTTCTAAGTCTCATTCTACAGTTTTCATCCACCCTCACACTCAGTCTTAGGTTCAAACTCCCTGCTCTTTGCTTCTATGCTCTCCCTAGAAAACCCATACAAGGGCTCAACTTGCTCTCAATACAATATCAGTGTCTCAAACAACCATTTGCCATAATATTGCTATTCGCTACTTTAAAGAGTTGAAGAGATAACCAATGTTAACTTCCTAAAGTCCTAAAGGCCAGAGTTTAAGCTCTGACATTAGTCAAATGGCTGTGTTGGCTAATATCCTGGGCATGACGCAGGGAAGCCACAGATAAACTTATTATTTAAGAAGACGGTGTTTCTTTGCGGTGGTTTACTCATGTCTATAACATGGGACAGGTCTGGTTCTGATTTCATGATGTAATTTGGGAACATTAACCCACCTCTTCTGCTCTCTACGCTATGAGTCATGACTGAATCGTCTAACTGAGTAGGGGCCTGTTAGAAGCAGGTCATTTGGTGTACATCTAGCCCTATCCCATTCTATTGTACGCCCTGGCCTCCCATCCCAGCCACTGACTCTCGGGGTCGGGACAGCAACAGACAGTCATTGAAGAGATGCAGGTGGACTGGACGAGTGGTCAGTTTCCTCCTCAGCCCTGGGGAGGCACTGAACTCAAGGGCCATCAGCTCCCCACTCTTCACCAGCCATCGAGATTGGGAAATGAGTGGGAAAATCTAAGACCAGGAAAAGAGAAAAGGCAGGTCATGAGCTTCCTCTCAGTCTAGGGATCACCAATTCCAGATCTCCCCTCTTGCTCTTAACCAACCCACCCAGACCCTGTGCCTCTCAGAACCCTCTAACCACACCACACTGGTGTGTGGATCCCATGTTTCCACGCTCAAAGGAAGGTGACCCTGATCTAACAGGTGAGGGTGTTGGGAGCAGAAGTCTGTGAGCCCAAGTGGGGCTCACTAAAGAGCAGGAGGGCACAACACCACACTGTGGCAGTCAAAGAACTGGAGCAGTTATGCTATCTGCTCTTTCCCTGATGCTGGTCAGAGCCAAGACGGGGCAGGAAGATTCAGGCCTAGAGCTGAGGTGATCCAGGTGGGGTCTGCTGGGAACGGGGGGCCTGGGCAACAAGCTCCAGCAGAACTTAAGAGAAGGACTTCCCTTCTCTTCTGGGGAATTAAAGATGGTATCCGTAACGCACTAGAATTTCAATGCTGAAGATCAATTTTATATTTGTTTGGACAAGACATTTTGAGGTTTTTTTGGCACGTTGCTCTTGGTTAGGTTAAAGGTGATCTGATAAAATAAGTGAGTCAAGCATTCTTCACCGCTAAATGCTTATATAGCCTTATTCTGGGAAATTCCTTCTCTGCATTTATTGAGTGCTCCTCCGGGAACTACTGCCCCTACCCCTTTTCTGATTATTATGACAGTCTCCTTATGCACACACATCAATAGATTTAACAACCTCTACTTTTACACCAAAGGTAATAAAACCCACATAGTTCGTCGCCTCCACCTATTAACATGTGTTGTAAACTAAAATGATCATTTGCATATTCCAGAAATGGAGAGAAGGGCAGGTGGAACCGGAAGGCTAGAGATGATGTAAGGAAGACGACTCTGTCAGAGGATGGCCTACAGGACATGCTAAAGAGGGTCACAGGCAGGGAGGTGTGCCAGGGACAGCTCACTTTGCACTCGAACTCAATCTTCTGGCTCAGGTAGATGAGCTCCTCTGTCCGCCGCATCCTCTGCACGTTGTTGTTGCAGTCTCGGATCAACTGAGAACAGAGCAGGGAAAGGAAGGGGGAAGATCACTGCGTTACAGTCCTGGCTTTTAAGTCCCCTTAAAGACATCTGGGAAGATGCCTGCAGACCTCCGTCTTTTCTACCAGGCTGGAGTTGAATGAAACACCATCAAAGTCATGTTTAGGTTGCCGGAATACTTTACAAGATCTGAGAGAATATATTGGGATGAGGGACTGTGGTATTGGGAACACAGTTGCTGGACATGAAATGTGAAAAAATAAGTTTCGTCCATACAGGGAGATGGCTGAGCTCTCCCCTTAATCAGGTCCCATGCCTCATACTTTCTTCAGGCATGGTACCAGGGGAAGGGGGGATAATTACCCCTGAATGAGTACTAATAAGTTTTTGGATGTGATGGCTACCTACCTTCTCCAGGGCATGGTGTGCCTTTGTGGCTTCTGCCTCTTCTGAGGAGCCAGGCTGGGTTCTCTTCAGAATGTTCTGTAGAACAAATAGTGGGCAAGAGCCAGACGGGAGGAAGAATGAATAAACAGGAAGAGATAAGTGGGGGGTATTTGATGTACAAGTCAGGGACACAGTTCCAGAAGCAAAGATTTCTGAGAAGGAAAGATGTGGGCAGTTGGGAAACCTCTCTCTCTCTCACACACACACACACCCCACACATGATGTGAAAAACTTCCTAAGAATGGATGATCGTTTGCCTACTAGCTTCATGTCTCTGAGTCAAGGAAATTGAACCAAAGAAGTAGCTGCCGTACCTGAAGCAGCAACTTCAGCCGGGTGATGCGCTGGAAAGGCAGTATCAGAAACGACTTGAGAGACAGGCGTTGGCAGATGGGGTCGCTCTCCAGCTTCTCCAAGACCTCCCGGAAACTGCTGTTACTATTCCTATATGAGCAGCGAGACTCGGTGAGGGGGGCGGTGGGGAGTAAAGGGGGCTTACTGAAGGCATGGGGAATGGAGGTCCAGTGTAGGATCTGGGATTGGGAAGCATGTTAAGAGCCCACATGCAGGGTCCAGAAATGGCTGCAGAGAGAACCTGATATGGGGAGTGGGCTGAGACTTCGGCTGACATAGAGGAGAATACATAAATACATACATAAATAAATAAATAAATAAATAAATAAATAAATAAATAAAAATAACACGAGTACTCTGGGGAGAGCGCCCTGGGCTAGGGACTGAGTCAAGGTCATGGCGATGTCCACTAAGGGAACAGGCAGGGATCATTCTCACATGAGGCTTTGGAAGGTGCGCTCCTGGTAGGTCTGGTTGGTGACATAAGGCAGGTAGACTCGGCGGAATTCTGGGGCATGATTCAAGACAACATCACACACTTGGAAGGAGAAGATGTTGTTCTCGAAGTTTTCTTCTAGGTCGGAAAGGAACCTGCACAGTATTTAAACAGTCTCATGAAGCACTGGGGTCTCGGCTAAGCTCGTTTCAGCCCTGCGCCTTCTGAGTGTGCAGCTTCTGTTTCCATCGAGTCACCAACTTCTACTGATTCCCCCTAGCTATGCAGTACAGCCTCCCCAAGGCTGTTACTTCTTTATTCCTCCTTTAAGTAGAATTCTAATACCCTATTTCTCCTTTTCTTCTCTTCTGGTTTGCCAATCTTTCAGTGATTCCCCCCCCCCATACCTTGTGTCCACTGCAGTACACACTCAGAATGTATGCAAAACCTCACTCCAGAAAGCACTTCTCACTCATCTGTCAACAGACCTGTGAACCCTCACCCTCTCTCCTCTTCTTAGCTTTCCCCACCCCACCCCCTTCCTTGGAGGGAGCCCAGGCCCACTTTCATCCAGACTCTGAAGACACAGCGGCTAAAACCAGCGAGGCTGAGAGAATGGAGATTGGAAGAAGTCTCACATGGTGCTGACGTCTCGCACATCCTGGAGACGAGAGAAGAGCCACTGGTGGTCCTGGGTGGACAGTGTAGCCCGGAGTTGGACTGAATGTTGGAAATGGTCCACAGCTACGTTTAGACTTCGAAGGTAAGATGCCTCTGACACAATCAGCTCAAATTTGGCCTAGAGGGTTGGGCAAGGAGGGGAAGAGTAATGAATACTTTTATGACCTCTCTGATGGACACCAGTTGTCGAGCAATGTTTTCGGGTGCAGCACTGAACTAGGCACATCTTTTCGCCACTCACAGTCACAAAATTCAGCTTAGCCTAGCAGGGATACGGAAGAATATTTGAGTACATAAGATTCAGTATAGGAGCTGAACAATATGAGTGAACCTCTGTGTCTTTCAAGAAACTTAAATATATACTTATACACACATACAAACAACTATAATTTCACAGATATGTTAACTTAACCACATCACGGTAACAATTCTGCCAACAACATATGCTGTGCTATATATATGCCTCACAACAAGGCGGCCAACACTTTAAATAAGCGCAGCAAAATTCAAGTAAGTTGAGCGTTTCTGGAATTTTTATTAAGCAAACAGACAAAAAAGGAAACCAGAAATAAAGCCAGAGAATCATATAGGAATGAGAATGAGGTACAAGGCCTGGTGGTTGCATAACCAACGCAGCACCACGTGAGCTTGAAGAGATTGAAGGGACAGATGTTCTAAGTGTACGAATTAAGTGGGTAGTTTTTATTGTGTGTGTGTGTGTATGTGTGTGTGTGTGTGTGTGTGTGTTTAACGGGCGTGTCTTTTTGCAAGCTGTGGAAAAGCCTAGAAGAGGGATGTCTAGATGGGAGATGACGGCCTGCTAGTCTTGGGCACGGGGAGAAGTAGACTGGTCTAGGCGTCGAGCGGGCGGGCAGACTTGGAAGACCTTGCCTATTTGCTAGAAGTGGGGTGCACAGGAGGAGCCAAAGCCAGCACCCCGCTGTTCAGTTGGGTAAAGGGTGGGATTAGGAATCGTTGAAGAAGCCATAATGCTCTAGTGCTCTGAAACAGGAAATGACTTAGGGAGGGAGGAAGCCGACAAGCTCAATTTGAGGTCTGAGGAGAAACTGAATTGGGGGGGGGGAAAGGGGGGGTGGTATGCGAGAAAAGTCCTCCTTTAAACCCGAAACCAAGCACTTAAGAATGGTGTGGAGGGTCCAGCAGGGGGCGCAATGACCCAGACATGACCAAGGACAGAATGGGGCTTCAGTAAGGCCACTTGGAACTTGGACAGAAGAGAAAGATAGACATCCCTTGCTGATCGCTGAGATGGCCAACCACACAGGAACTTTGTATACAAACTCAAACCGTGACATTGCACATAACGTTCAAAGACCATGCGGCTTAGGTGGGTTCATTTAAGCTTCCGAAAGTTAGGATTTGTGTTGTTGTTCTGCCCTTTTATACTAATACGGTGACCCACCCCTACACATACACACTCCAGGAGACACAGCTGTTAAAAGGAGCGGAGCCTGTGAAGGAACATTGCAGGCTCCCAAGATGTTGTATGATGACACGAACATGTATGTATGAGGTGATGGATGATACAGACGCCTCTTATCACACACAAGAGGCATGAGGACTGGAATCTGGACCCTTGCGGCTTCCTAGATCACCGAAGACTTAGGGAGAGGTAGCCAGAGTACATCTGATTTCATGGGATTGTCTCAACACTTGCAGTGAAAATTACACAGCTTGCCTGGGGTTCCCCCTCTATTACATGGAGCCAGGTCTGCGTCGCTGAAATTCAGTCATATTTTCTGACTGATTATTCTGTAGTAACCATTTATCTTTTAATTTTTATTTTTTTCCTCTCCCTGTTTTACCAATGGATTTGACCACGACAAGCAACGTATATTCATGAAGGGTTCGTGTCGAGATCACTGGTTGTGAAGCCCGCTCATCCACCCCCCCAATGGGCGTGGTCAGTGCCACAGAAGGACTATCTCACTACACGCTCTCAGGTATTACTACTCTAACACACCACGGCCTTTCTCCCTGGGAAGGAAGGCTCTCCCTCCTATTTCAGACAGATCCGAAAGCAGAAACTGCTTACGGAAAACGTACGAATTAACGGCAGCCGCTTAGAACCAGGTAAGCATCATCTCCTGCAGTCTTGACGCTGGGAGCGATGAGCAAACAGGGACATGAAAGGACCAAGGGACAACGTCCTATTGCCCTCTTCAAAGGAGCCAGCACAAAGCCTGGGTGCGTGGCTCGCCTGAAACGCTTGTGCAATTGGAGAGGAGGTCATAGCTCACCACAAAGCAGACGGTACTGTCACATCCCTCCCAGGAGATTCAGGGGGACGCTCACTGTGTGCGAGCCCAAGCCAGTACAGGCAGGGGAAGGAATGAGTGTGGGAAGAGGGGAAAGTATACAGAGCCTGAGAGCAGGTCACATCCTTCAGTACGGCGGTGAGCAGCCACTGTGTACAGGTGAGCGTGGGCTGGGGACAGCCTGCTCTTGGTGGCAGAGGTGAGGCGGAGATAAAACATTAGCAGATGCCATTCCGTTCTCCCTCCTCTCCCCTGCCCCGCCCCGGGTGGTACCTCCTGCAGTTTTTGATCTTCGTGGGTCATGGAGAGCAGCACTGTGCTGTTGCGAACCATGGGGATTTCCTGCCAGAGAGAGCCACTCGGGGCCATGGAGAGCCGCTGGAGATAGGAGTCCGAAGACACCGTCGCCTTTCGGCGATGCCGAGGGGAGGAGAGTCCAGGTGCCTCGGGCAGGCTGTCCAGCCGCTGCTGGCTCTGGATCTCCTTGTTCAGAACAACGTCGCTGTACTCCTGATAAAGCAGCTGGGCTATGGGTGAGGATTCATGGGAGAAGGAGAAAACCCTGAGAAAATGAAGTGGGTGGAAGCCATCTACGGCTGACCTCCGGCAACCCTGGCTTCTGGACACCACCACTTTAGCGCCGGCTGTCATGAGTCCCAGCCCCACGTTAGCGGGAAGCACGCCCGAGCCTAGAGACCTGTTGCAAGGTACTCACAGGAGTTGATGAGCTTGGAGCAACGCCTTGAAAAGCCTCCAGTCCCTTCCTTTGGTTTCTTCTCCCTGTGGAGTAGGCAGACTTTGGGGTACTTGCTGACCAAAAGACAGAAGACCCCCACCCCCACAAACACACACACAGTGACTTTAGATGAAATCTCTAACCCTCCAGACACACAATGGGATTCCAGGACCAAAGGAACAGTGGCTTCAACCTGTCTCTATCATGGATCTTTCCATTCAATCCTTCTCCCTTATCTCAAAGTCCAGAGAAGATCCTGAGGCCTTGGGGAGAGCTTACAAGTCCAGAGAGACATGTCAAACAATAACCCCAGATGTTATGTGGGAGGACTGGTTTCTAGCTGACCCACACACAGTGAGCAGAACTGGGCAGGTCCAGGCATCCCTTCCTAGCATTCCTTTCTTCTCCATACTTTCTGAAGATAGGAGGCACCGGGAATTCTGAGTCCCGGCATCGTTATCCAGTGAAGTCTTACTAAGGAAATCTTTTGTGTCACAAATAAAGACTGCACAGCTGAGTTTGTGAGGAGCCGGGACAACTCACCGGAAAACAACAGGATCCGAAGAGCCAGGAGGTCTTCCCATGCCCGGACTTCTTAAATCTGAAAAGGGAAATAAATGGGTGAAAGGATGAGCGGGAATCACAGATGAGCAGAAGGAAGATGGTTCTACTAGACTCTGGACGACAACACTAAAGCCAGGAACCCAGTCCACCCGGGGTCCCTGGCCCTTTGTAATCAGCTATACCACCGGCCTTCACACAAGATGGGCAATGCACGAAGAAAGGTAGCCTAAAAGTTCTTCAAGGCAGACAGCGAGCAAGAAGGGCCGTGGAGGGAGTCCGGCAACTTCAGGGAGAGATGGACTTCGGGGGAAGCCAGAGATGGAAGGGTAGAGAGGAAGAACAATCTGATGGCATCATGGGGCCATGAGTTTCTGAGTTGATGGTAAACGCAGAGAGCGGCAGAGATGGAGACCTAGAAGAAAAGCTTCGCCTAACAAAGATCTTTCTGCATCTCTGCTCCCCACTTACCTGAACAGCTCTCAGGCAAGAGAGAAGGTCTCCGCAGGCCTTGCCGGTTCCAGCTCTTGTGCTTGTTGGACGCCTGGCCCACAGCCTGGTCACCGGTACTCTCTGTTCTCACTGGGTCCTGCCGAGGGGACCAGCTGGATGCCTTCTCCAGTTGGTGGTGGGTGAGTCTCTCTGACTTTCTCGGTGCTAAAGCTGACCTCCGTGTGTCATTACACCCATCCCGAGGGGCTGACCTTCTAAACGATCCCATCACTGGGGGCTCAGACTCCTCGGTGAGCCCCGACCCATCCTTACTGGCAGGTCTCTGAAGCTCCGGGACCCAGGGAGTGGTAGGGGAGGAGGGACTTAGAAGGTTTGTCATGTTGCTGAAAGCCAGGCCCGGGGATACTTCACTACTGCTCCTACTGGAGGGAGTCAAAGCTTCTGTTGCTCTGCCCGTGGCTGGGGGCCAGGAGGTCCGTCCAACAGAGAGAGTGGAGGCTGTCCAGTTTTGGCCAGTGGGTCTCGGTTTGGCTTGAGCCCCTGAATGTACAACTCCCCCCTGGATGCTCCTGCTTCTCGCCTTGGATTTTGGGGGCAATGGGGGTGGTTCAGAGGGAGGGACTGGGGGTAGGGGCCTGTACATCCTTGGTACACTAGAAGGAGAGATGGAAGGACTGTGCTCAGGCACATCGGGAGTTGGCGGCAATGGTTTGTTGTATCTCAGCCTTGAGATGGAGGTCTGAGGATGGTGGGAGCTCTCTGGGGTGGATGGCAGGGGGTGGTGCTGCCCTGCCACGACGGATTCAGGGACGAGGGGAAATGGGCCTTTAGGAGATCCATGTAGCCCCGAACTTAGGGCCCACGGAGGAGGGTGGCTGTATCGCTTCAGTGTTGGGGCTCCTGCATGACGATGGCCATCTCTCTCTACTACAGAACTGTAGCTATACCTCTTTTCCGGGGGAGGAGGGGGCAAAGCTTCATGTGTCCTCGTATCCATGGAGACAGAGGGTGGAGAGGGAACATCCACAGGAGAGCCTACGCCAAAGGCTGGGTGCTGTGGGGAGTCCCACAGCTCACTACCGCGAGGGCCGCTGCTGGGCCTGTCTGGATTGGAAGGCAATTCTTCGGAGTCATGCCTCGCAGCAAGGAAAGCAGCAGAGGACTCTGAAAAGACGATGCCGTCCCTGCTCCTCCAGTCTCTCCTTGGGATCGGGGAGCCGCGGACGGCAGGTTTGGGGGGCCTCTGCGGTAACTCCCAATGAGAGAAAGAAAAAGACATCCCCACAGAGTCCGTACTCTGTTCTGGCCTGTGGGAGCCCGGGAAGGAGTTACTTCTCAGATGTTGGGTGGCTCCAGGGTGGCTTGTGACAGGGCTACGAGGGTTGCCCTTATCAAAGGAGGCACGTGGGTCCTTGGCAGTTCTTGCAGGTACCGGAGGGGTCTCAAGTGCCCCACAGCGGGGCGGTGTGTCAGGTGAGAGGGAGGCTGCTAGGGTATCCTTCCCACGAAGGACAATGGGAGAGGTAACAGGCGACAAGGTGGCAGTGATGGGTAAGATCTCAGCAGGACTGGCAGGAGCTGAATTGGGAGCTGAGACAGCCTCTGAGCCCTGGATGGACACTGTCCCCTTGCTCAGCCTGAATCCCCCTTGCTGGCTGTTGGGAGTCCTGTCATCCAGGGGTTCTTCAGTAGCAAAAGAGTCAGGTAGAGAGCAGGGTTGGTGAGACCGTTCTATTGGCTCCGGCGCAGGAGTCAGAACCTGTGGCATCAGTTCCTTGGGGACAGGCTCCCCCTGAACCCCAGTGAGGTCAGGCGCAGAGCGAGAGATGCCTGGAAGCAACGTACTTGAAGAGAGAACCTCGGGAGCTTCTAGAGCCGCTGGCGGACAATGCTTGGCCTCTTGGGCTCTCCTCCCTTCCTCTGCTGCCTGCCCACCCCTATCCCCATTCCCTCGCTCCCGCTCACCTGAGGGTACAGCCTCCTCCTGGTCCTCGACTGGCACCACGTTCCCTGTTTCATCATGGTCTTCCTGCTTCCCACTTACACTCTCTGATTTCACTACTAACCTCTGACTCTGCACACACTGAGCACCCACCCTTCCCTCTTCCACCTCCCTTAATCCCCTGTCCAGCCCCTCCTCCTCCTCCTCTCCTGGGCGTCTCTGTCCCTGCACCCTCCTACCTCTGTCCTCTTGACCCCACCCCCTGTGGTCCAGACCTTCCCATTCCCCGCGGAGCCCCTCACTTTCCCTTAGTCCTTCAGGCATTATATGGTTTTGGTCCCGTCCCTTGTTACCATTAACCCCCTGTCCCTCCTCTTCCTGCTCCCGGGGAAGCCCATCAGAACAAATGCTCTCCCTCAGAGTTCCTTCCTCCTGAATTTCGACTTCCTGTCCTTCCTGCTCCTCCGGTCCAGGGGCCTCCCGAGGTTGGAGGAGCCCTCCTTGCCTTTGCCTTCCTTGCCTGTCCTCCAGCTGTTTCCAGGGCTTGAGCAGTTCGCTGCCATGGCCCTCACACCCATCAATCTCACTAGGGTGTTTTTTGCAGGGAGGCCAGACTTCTCTAGGGTCCCAGGTGTCCAGAGGAGAGCTTTCGTCTTCCTTTGCTTTGCTAATCGCCAAGGCCAAGGACAGGAGTTCTGGCTGCAATTCTAGCTCCACTCTGCTGTCTACTTCGCTGGGAGTGTCTAGCCATTCTTCCTGAACAGCACAGGCCAAGAGGTCAGGGGCAGCTACCGTTCTTGACAGTCTGTCTTCAAGGCTCTGGGCTACTGGTTCCTGCTGACCTAGAGTGTCACAGGCCTCAGCCATAAGGATTTGCTGGCCGGTCCCCACATCTGAAGAAACTTCCTTTAAGAAAAATCCCATACTATCAGGTGGGTGTTCACTCACGACCCTTAACTCCTTTGGCTGGCTCATCAAGGGTCTGTGTCCATCTGCCCACTTGTAGGATGGGTCTTGGCCTTCTTGAGCTTCAGGCTCCAAGGCAGGGACCTGACTGCTCCTCATGATAGCTTCAGGGATAGCTTTACTGTCTTCTAGTGCAGGGGCAGGTGCACATGCTCCATGGTCAGGCTCCTCAGCCTCCATCAGGGCTGAATCCTAAAGAAGAATGCAAAACAAAAGTCTCATCTGAGTCTGCGTACACAGGGAGAGATCAAGAAGAAGATGCATGGGAAACTTCTTCAGTTCAGTTCAGGGTGGTCCTTCAAGACAGGTACTCAATGAAATAAGCGCCGGCCCTTACGTGTGTTGTTTAACTTTTTAAACTAAGCTACAATTTCTTTTTTTTTTTTTCCACATTTATTTTTATTTTTACATAATCTGTATGTACATGCAGCGCCCACAGAGTCCAGTAGAGGGCAGCACATCACCTGGAACTAGGATTATAGGTGCTTGTGAGCCTTTAATATGGGTGCTAGGAACTGAACCCTGGCGGTCCTTTGAAAGAACAGCAAGTGTTCTTAAGTGTTAAGTCACCTCCGTAGATCCCAAGGGAATTAGAGGGGCTGGGGAGAGGGTTCAGTTGGTAAGTGTAGTAAAGGTTTACCTAGAGGAAATGGGAAGGTGGTGGCTCAGTTGGCATATATACGTAAGGACTCTAGCATACACATAACAATACCAGGAGTAGTCATGCGTGTCTGTAAGCCTATAACATGTGTAGGGGTGGTCAGAGACTAGTCCAGTCAATCAACGAGAACCAGTTCAGTGAGCGCCTGTCTCAAAAGATAAGGTCTCAAAAGATGAGGCCTTCAAAGAAGATATCTGGCCTCAACTTCTGGCCTCTACAATACACACGCATGTGCACACACATGCACACGCGTGCACACACTTTACCTAGTGTAGGACAATCAGCAATGACCAAGACAAAGCTCCTAGTGGATCTTGTAGTCTTGTGGGCGGGAAAAAAAACCTGATTACAAACAATTCAATCAGCATCGAAGACCATCGTCAGAGTTCCTGGAACTGCCAGCGGCCATCGAACTCTAAATTGTATTATGCCATCGTCTATTCCGCCCTCTCAACTCTCTGGACTCTCGGTGTGACTCAGCCTGGAATAACTAACTACCAGACATGGTGGCTGACACACCCTACATCTAACAGCCAGTAGAAGCAGTGTCAGGAGTGGAACTATCTTCCTGAGCTGCTGACATAGGATTAAAGTAGGTCAATATAATAGCCGATGTACGACGGATGATGAGTCCTTTGCACACAGTCTGGATTTTACTCATCTTTCTGTTTTTACAGTGTCTAGCAGTGCTTTATAACTGATGAACAATTTTGTTTTTAATTATAGACAGCTGCTGTGAAACGGAAAGACAACCCCGCTTACTCTACTCAACGTGGCTCGTAAAGACGCCGCCGCGCCGCCGCCGCGCTACCTTCATTCCGGCCCTGTCTTTTCGCTAACGCCAGCTTAACTCCCCTCTCTGCTCCCAACATTTTGACATAAAAAAGCACTTCATATCCTAGTCTGCAAAAAGTTAAGAGAACAACGGGAGAGAGATGCCGCTTCAATGTACTGCAATTCAAAAGCAGCATGCACGCATGACCACTCTCCCTGTCTCCTCTAGGTCTGTATGCCAGAGACTATCTCTTTATCCGCTCTTAACAGAATCTAAGCGGCCCTGGGCATCCTTCGTCTTCTGAGTACGTGAAACAAGTTCTGCCTACGTGCTTGCTGTCTTCATAGCCTTACATCCCACCCGCTCCACCCAGTTTCAATGGGTACCACTCTGCCAGTATCGCCTACATCACCGGGCTTTGGGGAGTTAGTGGCTGTGCCTTTTCCTTCTTGGTATTTATGAGAGTGTGTTTGTCAGGACTTAGGCTTTGGGATTCTAATTCCTCAAATGGGTCAAACTGCATTTCTACTTCAAGTAATTAAAAATTACAACTCACCTCACTTCCCCCCTTGCAACTGCACCATTTCTATTTATATAATTATGTGATCTGATTTAACCTCCGTTTCAACCGGTGAACGACAAGCTGTGTGAGGCGTGTTCTGCTCAGTTGCCTACATCTAGCACAATGGTAGACCCACAGTACGTGCTCAATAAATATTTTAAACATAAAGAACATGTCTCTCGTTCCCCTCCCGGCCAGGAGTTCCCGTTGTGTGCGTACACATCTTTGTACCTGGAGCGCAGACTTCATACAGTTCATTTTCCACACAAATGCCACTTATAGTTTAGATTCCTTGGTATCTTCTGGCTAGCCCTGAGATTAATACCGAAAGTCCAGCAAAGATCATCCATGCTGTACAATCCAGCCTCTGCCTTCCTTTTCCAGCACCTGCCTCTGCCCTCAGCTCTCGACATCTTTTCGCTCAGCTACAGGCCATCATGTGTGCTGCTCCTCCTCTGGCATTTGATCCCAGAGAATTCTACCACACACTGTATCAGGATCTCATGAGGGCACACCCTCTACCGTGTAAACTATGCAGTCCCCTCTACCTAAAGTGTTACGGTTCTTGGGGGAGATGTATAGTCAAAAGGGTATGCTTGCATTTTCAGTTCTGGAGTTTTGACTCTTTGCTACCTTTTAAGTCAACAGTAGAAATAATTTAATGTATCTGAATATCCTTTTTCCTCATCTCTAAGAGATGTGCTTCCTTAACAGTTCTAACGGAGATCAACTAATAATATACTATACATTTTGTATAATACTATAAATAAAAGTGTTCACTGGCGTCTTCAAGAATCGCAGAAATGGCAGGTATTATTGCTCTGAGGGGCTGAATATGTGTAGGAAAGAAACAGAAGACTAAGCCGCAGAGGCCTTTCTAGAAACACAAGACCTTGCTCAGTTTGCAGATAGCAAAACTCAACCTCAAAGGCTCCATTTCCTAAGCAAATGATTCAAGCAAACCCAAACAAAGACTCCTGGTTTTAGTCTACTCTAAGCACCTGATCATCCAGCCACAACACAGGGGAGGACCCTATGAACCCCGGGACCCTCTGTGCACCCCGCTGTGCACCTTTCTGGTTTAACGTGGAAAGCTACCCACAAAACTGTTTTTTGTTATCAATGCAGAGTACGTACATACATACAAACAGACACACACACACAGTGACTTACCTACCCTTGCAGTCTCTACGCAATAGAATCTGACATAACCAAATAGGCAGTCCCTAGGCACCTTGCAGATGCCATATATGACAAGTTCCTGGTCATCTCACAGATGTAGATATTATCTATATAGGGCAAGTAGATATGACTGACATAAATGCACCTCGGTTGAAGGATTTTTATGTCCTTTTCTGGTTAACTGGCAGCGTCTGCCTTGTGCTAGCTAGCCCTTAAGTATGAAATACACAAGTGATATGTAATGTGACCTTATTCTCTCTGCCACATGTTAAATAACACACCCGTTCACTGACACCTTCTGAAACTTGCTCCTACCTGCCTCAGAAACCTATGTGATAAACCCTGTTATCTTTCCTCTCCAGCATCTGTATTGTCTGGATCCCTATCTCCCAACTTCATCAAACCATAAAAAGGGGACTCCCTGGATTTATAAATGAGTTCCCGACATAGCCACATGGAATCTACATACACTATGTGCTATGTGGATATTTTTTAGTTCTGATCTAAGGACACGATAAATGCCTGTCTCTGCAATCTTGCAACTATGTCTTTATCTTTTCAGAAACAGAGTAGTTGCTGTGTGGGTGCTGGTGGAGCAGGCCTTTAATCCCACCGCTCCAGAGATGGAGGCAGGTGGATCTCTGTGAGTTCAAGGCCAGCCTTGTCTACAGAGCAAGTTTCAGGACAGCCTGGACTATACAGAGAAACCCTGTCTTAAACACTCCCATGTGCCCCTCCCCCATAAAAAGAAAGAAAAGATGTATGGTAGTCACCTGTTTACACTCCACTCATCCCAAAGGTAGCAAGTAACCTAGTTCCTAAAATTAATTCTGTCTCAATGACCCTACACAAACAGGCGTGACATGGCTAGAATGTAGAGAAAACTAAGGGAAATCTGTAAAACATGGTCTTATATAAAGGCATTGGAATTAGAATGGAATTTTTTTTTTTTTTTTTTTTTTTTTTTTGTAATTACCCATTCCGTTAAGAGTTGAAATGTCTTTTACCCTTCTCATCTGGGGTGACTAATCACTATTTATCTGCACACAGGCAGAGACAGGGCACAGCATCGCAGGAAACTGGCTTCCCTCCAGACCAGAGACATTTTGCTGTGTGACTTTTTAAGAGACAAAACTCCAAGCCACCCCCCATTAACAGTATAGGGCACAGCAGACCTCCAGTCTCTCCTCCGAACAGCCCACAACACCTTAGCTCTTGTCTACTTCTAACCACCAGGTATAACATAATTTCAAAGATACCTTTACGTAATTCTTGGTATTGCTTGTGCATTTACAGTGGCATCTACATTTCTGCCTACAGGAGGAAAACAAATCTCCTGCCTTCAATCCAAAAGATAGCCCCTCACTTTCACTTAGCTCATACAATCACAGCACAGATAAGTAACTTGATTCTGTGTTTGACACTACTACCCTCAATATTCCAAAGACACCACGGCTAAGGCCTGTCCGACCAACTTGGTGAGGCATTAAATAAACATCTTTGATCTACTCTCTCATGTCTTAAACATTATCGATGGTCTCAGAGGACAGACGGTCTTATATAAGAATATCCTAAGTGAGGATGTTTACACCCCACCTGTGGCCATGGGGCCACCCACTCTGGTAAGGTGTGACTTGATTATCCTTAGTGACACTGTTCTAAGTGGCTAGCTTACTCTACACACACACACACACACACACACACACACACACCACACGGAAAGCAGGGAGCCCTGTTTACAACGAAGGCTGTCAATCACCTGTTTGTTTCTGTACCGTTCTGTTCAAAACACCATCCTGTGAGAGAGCCCAGTTGTGTCCACACCTGAGTAAGTGGCTATTCCAGACACCACAAATGTCGGGGTATTCTAGTCTGTCTCAAAGACAACCTCAGACAAATCACATTATGGGCAGTCATACCCTCTAGAGAGCCCTGATACATGAAAACTTTGGCTATATCTGGAATTTGTGTATTCTTTGGGGGGGGGGGAGGGAAATCCCTTTACATTCCTTCCGACTTCTTCCTTTTA